ATGTTCTTTGCTGCGGATGGTATAGTAGCTAGTAAAGTGGTTCCTGAAAGTACTAATGTTAATAGTAGGTTCTATTCTAATACTGTATTGCCTGAGGTGTTTAATAATTTTATGAAAAAAAGAGATAGACATACTGTAAGAGATGTGTTGTTGCATCATGATAATGCTAGGCCACACAAGGCAGATATTGTTACTGATTATTTGAAGGAAAAACATATTAAATTAATGCCTCATCTACCTTATAGTTCAGACCTAGCACCATGTAACTTTTATTTGTTTTCAAAAATTAAAAATGAATTAGCTGGTTGACATTTTGAACGGGTTGAAAATCTTGCAAGAGCAATAAAAACAATTACAGATAACATCTGTATAGATGAATATGACAGATGTTTTAAAAATTGGCAAACCCGGCTTAAAACTTGTATAGAATTTAATGGAGAGTTTTTTGAGGGAATGCATTAATTTGTTATTCAAATGTATTATTAAATTTTTTAAATAAATACTTACTGACAAGACTTATCATTCACCCAATATATTAATACTCACTTTCTAGCTAAAATCCTAACCTTTTACTATATTCTGAATCAATAAAAGGTTACAATCTCTCAAATCTGCAAAGAATATATTTCTAACTTCTACCCACAAGCTGAAAAAATTTTATTAAAAAAATTTAAAGTCTAATTTACTCTTATTAAAAATCTCGATGATTTCTACCTCTTTAAAACAACTGAAGTATCTCCTCCTAATACTAATACACCAAATGACAACTTTATATTTAATCCTGATGACAATATGCAAATAGATGATGACTTAACTACTACTTCTAATAAACCTCTCAACACTTCCAAATCTTATGCTAAAACACTCTTATCCAATACTCCTCATTCTCACTCATTTAATCCTTTTTGTTAAATATTTCTTCTACAAACTCCATTAATGTAGCCGCTACTTCATTAATTGATACAACTATTATATTTAATGAAGGAAATGATGTAAGTGGGCAGGCAGTAAAGACATTTACGCAAAGGACCATTTATATAATAGTCAGACTCAACATACAGAGCAGACTATGGAATCCTGCACAGCTGTAAAAACCAAGCTTAAACCGGCAAGCAACTTTGTAGAAGAAACACTATTGAAGTCACCTCCAACATCTTTAGAGCCCTATGACTTCAATTTCTGCTATAACATATTTCTCTTCTTTTATAACCTACCACTCCTACCCTATAATCAAACACTTAGAACATTCTTAGACCATTTAAAAAACTAAAAATTTAATAACAATATTATTCTTTCAATTAACTACTCCTCCAATAAAGTATATGTATACTTATCTCACAACCAACTCCTGCTTTCTAACCACACTTTAATTAAATAATTTTTAATAACTAAATACTTAGATTTGCCTATTAAAACTAAAAAAACATTTAAACATAATTTATTTAACTCAATAAAAATCTTAGAAAATATTCTACACACAACATCTATACTATTATTAACAGTCTCTGAAATATACTCAAATGAACTTGAATATTTATCTGCAAATTTACTTTCATTTTTACAAGATCCTAATGATAATACTTCAAGCTCACCTACCTCAGACTTTTCACTTGCAAATAACAATTTTACCAATAGCTCCTCTTGCCAAAACTCTAATTACATTAGAAATTTGTATCTTAACATTACTATTCATAATGTTCGAGGCTTCAATTCAGTAACTAAAAGAGAAGTATGGCAAAATTGTCTCTATAATAACATCACCATCACTAGCATAACTGAAACTAAAATCTCCAACAAACCTAACTTATTCTTCTGTAACAATGATTTATTTACATATTACTGAGTCAATTCAAAGACCTCAGCTGAAGGAACTGCTATTATGATCTGCAACCACCTTAAACCACATGTACACAGCTGCTAAATACATCTTGATAGAGCTATTGCTCTAAACTTCTTTAAAAACCAAATCAAACTCTGTATTATATCTGTCTATCTCTTATCTACAGTTTTAACTAAAAGAAATACTATACAAGAAACAGTTATTAACTAGATTAAACAAGCATTTAAGCAAAATCTCTATCCAATAGTTCTTGGAGACTTCAATACACAAGACAACACATTTAGCTTATCTTTAAAATATAAGCTCATTAACTTCTTATATTATTCTAATATGTATGATATTGGTATTCATTTTAACAATACCCACTATACTTGGTTCAACAATATTAGCAGCAGCTGTATTAATTATATTTGGACTGACCAATTCAGTATATAGTTTTTTTTATCTTATAAACTCGATAACAGTAAGACAAATACTTTTAGTAACTATCTTATCCTCTCAGCATCTTGGATTTTTTCTAATGCATATAGCAAACCATCACGACAGCATACTGGCATTAGCTATAGAATCTTTAACTACAAGCTTATGTCATCAGACAAGTAGACAGAATTCTCAGATCTTTTAGCATCTAAACTTCAATCTTATCATATGCCTCTTACTATTGAGACTTCAGAAAGTATTGATACTACTTGGCATAAAATTAAACACTCTATCATTTATTCAGCAATTTAATTTATTCTTAACAAAATTAGCCGCAAATGCTGCTATAATCATAAATATACTCTATACCATACTTTACTTTATCTATCCCTTAAAAAACTTGGGCATCTTATTAAAATAGTCAAAAATACTAATACTGATAATACTATTAGCATTTCTCATATAAACTCTCAGATTGATACTCTTAATTTCAAGTCTCAATGTAACCTTCAGCTTCTTTCCTCTCTAGAACCAACACATCTTAGTCAATGAACTAAACACGCTCAAGAAATTTGGAAACAACTCTACTATGCATGGCATATTGAAAACTTCTTGCTCTTATGACAACAAATTCAAGACGCATCAGAGAAAAGATGCAATACTCTTGTTACAAAGCCTATACAGGCAATCAATAACATTCTTAACCCATACTACTCACCTATCCAATTTTCAAATATCAAACTAGCTAATGAGCTTATTACTGAATCCTAACTCATTAAACAGCACATTCAATTATATTTTGAAAACTGGACTGCCTATAAATCTATTAATGAAATATTATTTATTAATTTCTGGTATCAACATTATACACCATGCTCATATATTGATCCTAATTGGTATGACAGCCTCACTGCATCTATTACAGATGATGAAGTTTTTTGTATTATTGCAAAACTCCCTAATGGCAAAGTATGTAGTTCCATTAGTATAAGCTATGAAATGCTTAAATATGCTGGTACGAAATGCATCCAAGCTCTTACTACTCTTTTTAACTGATGCCTCACTACTGGTCATATTCCAAAAAAATAGAAACATGACAGAATCTATCCAATTCCTAAGTGTAACACCTTTAATGGTAATTTCAATCTTACACGGCCGATCAGCCTTGTAGAACATATCCAAAAAATCTATACCAAAATACTTACCAACAGACTTAACACCACATTCTCACAGCATCCTATTCTGTCTCCCTTTAATTATATTGCCTTACCTGGCAATAGCACTTCAATCCCTATACATATTCTTAATAACCTTATAGAAGATGCATCATGCAATCACAAGAACATATAGCTACTATCTCAAGATATGAGTAAAGCCTATGATTCTGTGAATCTCACTCTCTTACAACAATTATTACTTCACCTTTCCTTACCTACTTTAATTATTAATATTATTCATGACTTCTTTACAAACTAATATAACTAAGTTATTACTAACTTGGAATTTACCTCACTATATCCTGTGCATAATAGTATAGACCAAGGTGAAACAATTACTCCATTACTTTGGAGAATATACTATAACCCACTTATTACTCATATTCATCAACACTTTACTGAATATAATACTAAAACATCCTGGATTACTAACCTTAAAAACAAAATATTTAATAAACTCCAAGCTCACTGTTCTGTTCTTGCTTATATAAATAACACTCTATAGATTGCATCTTCACAAACTGAACTATCCAATATTATTTCTGTTGCAGAATCTTTTTATAAGATGGCCAATATTCAAGTCAATCCCTCCAAATCTTTACTTATTATAAACAATCCTCCTTCAACATATCATCCCATTTA